TTCATGGATGAGTATTGTAGAATAGTCTTACACTACAACAACCCGACCGATAGCTTTGACGTGGTGGTCACCGGGCTTGCACATCGCGATGACCCAACAAGCCGCACTGGTTGGAACCAATGTTCCTGCAGGTCCTACCATGCCAGGAAGATTGTTCGGATAGCGATTAGACTAAAAGCAGTTACTGGAATAGTGTAAGGTTTGTTTCCTTACTCTAGGCTGGGGGTGTTTGGGCAAAGTTGCACTGCTAAGGAATAGGGATGTGACAACAGTAAGGTGTTTCCCTCAGATGACCAACATGCCAGCCAGCTATGCTGTCTCTCCACTCTGTAGAGACAGGGTTAGAAAAGGTCAGCCCCAAAATTATACATCCCGACTTAACCTACGGTGATCCGTAACCAGCCGTAAATTTACTAACACGGAACCAATCCAAAAAACCAGTTCAAACAGGCCGTGTGTGATCGACCTCAAGCAGTTGTCCCCTGAGCTGTGCGGTCACGCAACACTAGTTCTCCTTCTGTTTCAGGTACCTGAAGAATCAACCAACTTCCACAGTGTGGGCAGCCGGGAAGTAACAACCACCCACACACTTCCAGAAGCATACGAAGCCTTCATATTCGTCATTCTCTTTTATCCACGTCACCCTCATCGTCTTGCTTCCCTACTACTGCCAGTACTATTCTGCAGCCTAGTGAGTCATCTTCACTTCATTCTGTGACCACAAACAACCATGAGAGGTAGAAAAACACCCCCGATAGTCCCTTAAAGCCACACCTCAAAATTCATATTAGAGCATTTAACATCAGGACCCTCTTCCAAATCGGACAACAGGCATCACAAGCTAGACCTCTGGCATCTCGAGTCATGGATGTATGTTGTGTTTCGGAGACACGCATACAACACCCGAGTGTGGTCATTCACTTAACCTCATCCGGTCAACAAGGTAAATCTGCGAAATTCACCTTACAAGTGTCAGGAGACTCCTCAGCTAGTTCTTGGGGACTTGCAGGTGTAGGTATAGCATTGAGTATTAGGGCGGGAAAGTCACTTCTTGACTGGATCCCAGTAGATAGTCGTACGTGTGTGGTCCGTCTGGACGGGTCCGTTAGAAGGCGGAAGGACGGCGTTACTCGTCGTTGTCTTTTCGTAGTCTCCGCTTACACCCCAACAAACTGCAGTTCGGACGAACTAAAGGATGACTTCCATCAGAAACTGTCTAATTCGCTGCGAAAAGCAAAACGCCCATATATAGTTGTTTTAGCAGGCTACTTTAATGCCCAAGTATGGAAGTCGTGAGAGTGAGAAGTATGTAGGTGGCACGTACAGAGTTCCTTGCCAATGAACCGACAACGGTGATCGTCTTCTACAATTCTGTTCAGATAATCATCTCTTCCTAGTCAGCACTAACTTAAGGCACAAGGACAAACCTGGTGACCTCCATCACCAAATCAACGCTGAACTCAAATAGACCACATAGAGATAGGGTATCGTTGGTGAAGGTCAGTAGGAGACTGCCGCTCCTTCTACAACACGCGTGTAGACTCCGATCACGCCCTGGTTCACGCACGTTTATGCTTTTCTTTTCACCTTCTTCTCTTGCTTTCTGTGCTACTTGGAGTGTGGCAACTCTAACTGCTGCACAGCGGTGAAAAGTTCTATGCTGAAGCCAGTCAGTCACACTACAACAAAACAGCTGTCCAATACTCCCTGATTATCCCCGTTTCTTTAACTGATGTCAATCTGTTATCTAATCTGATAATTATAAATAGACAATGGATAAATTGTCTCTAGTCTCATTTCAGCAGCTTGTCCATCTTTCAGCAACCATCCAACCAAATAATAGTAGTAGCAATAGATTTATTTTGAAAAATGCGTGGATACACAATGCAGAAATTCCAGTAGGTTTCTAATTGTAAGGCATTTACTCCTTGTGGAGAATCTTCGAATAATATAGTGGACGACAACATATGGGCTGAAGTGATATCGTTTTATTGGAGACAAGCCCCAATAATAATGCACAAGGTTTTTCCTCCAAAAGAGGAACTTCAAGTGAACCTAGATTTCACGGGAGAACTTAGCCTGTGATATCCCCAAGAGAAAAATTTCAGGATCTTTGAAAAGAGCATTCTTCGCAGTAACGCTAAGAGTAGTAGTATTCTCCGGTGGTCAATTAGTATGCAGAAGCCTTAAGGACAAGATCTCGCATCTGATCACTTCTATGTGCACATATCAGTTCACCTGTTGCTGTGGAGCCAGCCAGGTACATGGATCGTTCGATGCGTATCTTGTCCAAAGAGATTCGAGAACACTATCCCGCACGGCTGCTGCAAAAAGGTAGTAGTGGGCCTATATGGAGTGCGATAATCGAACACCTTGTAAACATTGCTCATTGCATCTCAACAAACGCCTCCCTTCCTTCAAAGTAATCATCTACAGAATCAAGAATAACCTACCAAAGACAATACGTTCTCACCTTCTTTGTATTCCGGAAGCCTTCGCTGTTCAGTTATGCATACAAAAGAAAATCATTCAACTACTTCTACTATTACGGAAACAAGTGGGTTGATTTCCACTGACTTGATGTTTGTATGCCTGCCCTTTGAACTCTTTATAAATCTTGTATTTCTTTACAACTCTTAGATAATTCCATATTTTTGCATGGAGGATTTCATCATGAGCTGAAATCAGTTAGAGAACTATTGGAAAACCCGGGAGTAATGGACAGCCAGCCGTTTCGTCAGCCTATTCTGTGACTCTTCAGCAGTATTCACCCACCCCCACGGTCAGAACCAAGAACCTCCTGGTTACAAGGCGAGCTAGTAGACCATTGAGCCACTGGGACCCGATCCAATGGTCCTTCCAGGTTTTCCAGTGGTTCTCTCACTGATGTCAGCTCATGATGAAATCCTCCATGCAATCAAACAAAATCCCTACAAAACCAATACCTGAAAATTCCATATTTTCCTTCGTTTCCACGTACATCGTAAAATCAAAACTCACCCATTAAATTATTCATCTTATCACGCAACTGCAATACACTTACATAACATTTTTTATGCACTGACTACCACTGACAACTATGTTTTTTGACAACTCATCATCACCACCCTGTCATACTATACTTCATCACCCCCTAATTACAATTTGATTATTATAATAAAGGTTTTTTATCTTTCCCAATGAATGAAAAACAAAACGCTGTTGTTTTGTTTACTGACGTTTCACTACTTAATGCTGTTGCTAATAGCTTTATTAAAGTATTATTAAACCAGAATTTACAAAATCCCAGCTTATATACAACAAGTTAATCATCGTACCTCAGCAGACGTTACTCAGAATTAGACGTTGGTGAACTACCATTTTTAGACTGCTTAGTTAAGAGGAGCGAAAACGGACATTTTAGTATATCTGTATTGAGGAAGAAAACCCCTCCAACAAATATTTAGACTTAGGATCATCACACCCCATCAGCGCAAAGGTATCAGTTGTTTCAAGTCTTTTTAGACGAGCACACTCTTTTATGTTAACGGATGAGAAAGAAAAAGAAGAAATATCAAACATTACTGAAACTCTCAAGCAAAGCAACTCCCCAAAGAACTTCATCAACAAAATCAACAGTGACATTCAGTATGGTCAAAAACGCATTCCGAAAACATGGACCTCGACAGTCGCCATTCCATATAGAGCAGAGACGTCAGACGATATCAGAAGAGTACTCAATCAGCTCGACATTAGAGTTTTCTTTAAAACATTAGACACACTGAGAAGCAATTTTGTCCCTATAAAAGACCAAATCCCTAAAGATTCTCTGTCTAATTGCGTCTATAAAATAAAATGCTTGGAATATGATGCGATAAACATTGGACAAACATAGCGAGAAATCAAAATAAGAAATGAACACCATAGAGCATCTGTTCGACCACCAAGAAATCAAGTTGAACTAGAAAAGCTTGAAAAATCATCAGCTATAGCTCGTCTACACGATATAGAATCAGGCCACAAAATTGATTTTAACAATATTGAAATAATCCAGAAAAACCATTTCAGGAATCACAAAGAACGTCTAATATCATCAGAAGCACTTCATATCAAATGGAATCCAAATTGTCTGAACTGAATAGGAATGATGGACCAAAACAGAATTTGACCTGGTTATAACACATCCCTCCTCCATGAAGTGACCAGAATCAACACGTATGTGATAAGCAATTTCATTATGTAAAAACACTGCTTTTATAATTTTTCACACACTGATCAAATCCAACAATATACACTTGGTTTTGTTATCTTTACCAATTCGCCAACTAACTTGACAACGTAAAAATTATCCCATGCTGATGAACGATGATTAGGTTGTTGTATACAAGCTCAGACTTTGTAAATTCTGGTTAAATACTACTACTTTGATAAAGCTATTAGCAGCAGTATTAATGAATAGCGAAACGTCAGTAAAAACGATAATATCGTTTTGTTTTTCATTCATTGGGAAATACAATACAGGTAGGTAGTTACCTGGGATTTTAGTGAGAAGTCGTGACCAGTAGAGTGCAGCAGGTCGGGTTTGAGAACAAATACTCGCCGAAGACATTGGCTAGTAGTCGCGGTATGTCGTGAATTGGCAGGCAGAAGTTGGAATTCATGGGTCGGCCATTGGATCGGGTCTACGTGGTTTAATGGTCTACGAGCTAACTCGCCTTGTAACCAGAAGGTCCTGGGTTCGAACCCCGGTGGGTGCGTACTCCCGAAGTGTCACAAACTAGGACGAAACAGCTGTCCAGTGCTCCCCGGTAGTTTTCCAATGGTTCTGTAACCAATGCCAGCTCATGATGAAATCCTGTAACCAAACAAATCCCTACAGACCAACACTTGAACGAAAGCTTTTATTATATTGAATATATAATCTACCCAATGCCCAAATTTTTTCAAACTGTTAAAAGTGAACTTAGTTTGCACATATATAAATTTGATTATTCATCACATATTTGAAATATGTTGATGATGTAAACAATAATGCTAACTAATTGTTACTCTTGTTTCTAACAAACCTAATGTACAAACACACACACAACCATACATACAAAAATAATGATATATAATTGCGAAAACAAACTCTTCGCCGAACTACATGTTTTGTTTTCCCTCTATTTCCGTCAGGAAATCCATAGTGAAAGGTTCAGATATATTTGAAAAAGTGCCTCAGGCACACTTTTCAAATCTTAAACATAAACTGGTATGATTAAAACAATTTGAAATGAGCGGGATGGGGGTGGGGAAGGAGTGAGGGTAAACACAATACATTTAGGTCGGTGGTGGTAGCCTAAATGTGATTTAAGCAAGCCGCCAACTGAAAGACAAAAAAATCATAGAATTCAAAACAGCAATGGCTAAATTTAAGCATGTTCATCTTTTAATTTACGCGGAATACCAGACAATGGAGTAGTGAATGCAGGTTTACGTTTACGTGCACCAACTGTAACTGTAGTCGGAGTATTCGTAGGAGTAAAACAAGCAGAAGACGACGATGAAGACGAAGAAACAACAGCAGTTGGTGTAGTCGACACAGGCGAAGAACCGACAGACAACTGGACAGGATTAGGCACAAAATTTAAAGGAGGTTGATGATGTGTTGAATCAGTGGAAGGAGTAGAAGAAGAAGAAGGAGAACCAGTTGCCGAAATACTTGACGAAATAATTGTTACATCTGACGACAAAATACTCTGAGAACGAATCACCTTTGATGAAATGACTGTTGTAGACTCTGTAGTACTGGATGATAGTGTCATATCGATTACAGAGGTGGAAATCGATAGAGAATCAGTAGTGCTAGAACAATGCATGCATAACCAGTGTTGTTTTGATGTCGACATTAAAATCACTGGTTGATGACATAATTGGTGATAAAGTGAACCGCACTGGATACATTCAACTAGAACATTGGCATTCATTGTTCGTTTATCTGGTTCCAATTGTGGTTGCTGGGATAAACGTCCACAGATACGACAGACTAAATCAGCGACTAAACTTGCAGCCAATAGACGTGCATTATTATTATTATTATTATTACTCCTACTCAAACTGATATTGTCTTTATCTGAATTTAAGAGATTATTAGGATCAGTTGTCATAGTAGTAGGAGATGGCGTTGGTACTGAGGAGGTTTGAAGTGTAGAAATGTATTCGGAGGGATTGATTTTCACGCTTGGCAATTTATCTTTTGAAGAGTTATCGTCGACTGAAGGTAAAGTAATAGTAGTAGTATTGGGGCAAGTAGTAGTAGTAGTACTAGAAGTAGCCACAGCAGTATCAGTGGTAGTATTAGTAGTAATAGTCGTTGCGACGGTAGATGGGGATGATTTCGACGGTGAATCATTTGTTAAATCTATAAAAGCGATGGATGAATTCGAATTCTTCATTGGTGAATCAACTGTTGGCACTCCGCTAGCACTAGTGCTGCTGCTGCTGCTACGTGTACCCACTGATGTTTGTGATGAATTGGTACCACAACTACTTGGTTGAACTGTTGTACCCGGATCTGGAATCAGAGAAAAAAACAAAAGTTCTTTTTATAATACGATACATCCTACTGAATACTTGATTAAAACGGGATCAGTTAATAAAATCTGAAACTAGATATTGACACTGACTAGTATCGGATGGTTGGAGGCAATAATCGCCAGGAAGCCCTACCTGAACTAGGTTTCGTGCTAGTTGTGGCATTCGTCAGCAAAATTATACCAGACTGTCAAAACAAAGCCAAATATCATGTGACTACATATCAGTCTAGTCCTATCTTTGGTGCAGACTGAACTTTATCAGACGCGGGTTCGAATCTCAGAAGGGACATGAGTTCTTCCTTCAAGGTAGTTGCAGATACGCCTTGAGCAGCAATCTTCGTATGTTTGGCATGCGATTCGCCCCTGTAAAATGTAAGGTGATGTTACAGGATTGGACTACACCGACTCCTAGATTAGAAATAGGTAGTGAAGTGGTAGAGCACGTTGACCGCTTCAATTACTTGGGAAGTACCATCAGCCCCAACGGGTTGATCTCGGACGAAATATCAGCACGAATACAGAGGGCTAGGTTCGCATACGCCAGTTTACGCCGTCTCTGGCGTAGACGTGATATCCGACTATCGACCAAAGGGCGTGTGTACTGCTCAACAGTCCGCTCCGTCCTCCTTTATGGCTGTGAGACCTGGCCATTGAGAGCAGAAGACATGAAAAGATTAGCTGTCTTCGATCATAGGTGTCTGCGTTCTATCTCCCGCGTGAAATGGTATAATAAGGTGAGCAATATTGAGGTTAGGCGTCGAGTGCTAGGTAAGGAGGGGAAATCAGTCGACAAGGCTGTGAAATTACTTCGACTGAGATGGTTAGGACATGTGCTACGTATGCCTAGTCATCGCCTTCCTCGACAATGGGCAATGTTAGCTGATATAGGGTCAGACTGGAAAAGAGCTAGCGGCGGTCAAACGAAAACATGGCACCAGTCAATGAAATCCACAACAGTTAGTCTAAGCCACGTAGGAAGGTGTAGACTTCCTGGTTGGGGTCGTCGGGATGGTAAAAACCAATGGTTGGAAACAATTGGTGACATGGCTCAAAATCGTTCTCAATGGCTAGCACAGATGCATCCACTCCTTGTGACTTATGATTTCCGATGAAACTGTTTTGTTCTTCTTTATTACTATTCCTTTGTCTCACATCTCTGTTTACTGTCTTTATTATGCCTGGCCTAAAACCTGCCTGGTTTTCTCGTGTTTGTGTCTCCCGAGCACCACTTAGTCTACGCAGTATTATTGAGCCTAGGATTTTAGATACTATATTAGTCAAGCTAATCCCTCTGTGATTATCACAAGAAGACTTGTCTCCCTTCCTGTATATCGGGATGATCAGTGACTTACACCAACCCGATGGGACTTCTTCTGATTCCCAGACGCTGCCTAGAACCTCAGTTAATGCAGACAGTAAACTGTCTCCACCGTACTTAAATACCCTCGGAGTCATTCCATCAGGTCCCGCTTTTGGAACACATACCAGTGTAGCTAAATAAACGTGTTTTTAAAGCCGTCAACAGTTCTATATTAGATCACTTCATCCAAACAGGCCACAAAGCTAACACCAAAGACCTCAAGATACCGAACACTCCAAACAGAGCAATGGTGGTTGTGCAATTCACACTTGAATCAACCGGAGCTCTGAGTGCGAAACAAACAGATCCAGTGACTACTGCTACCTTGGCCTGCTGTCCAACCTATATATTCACAAATTCTGTCTAACTTCCCTTAATTTATTTGGTATTCAACCAGGGTGAGTATTATATTAATGCATTATTATCACTTATACAGGCTTTTAAACTATAATCTGTCGGTATTATTGTTAGTAATCATTGTGCGTCGGTGGCACATCGGTGGAATGCTCGCCAACCAGGCATACGATCCGGGGTTCGATCCCCGACCACAGACGCACTCCTTTACCTCGCTAAGCCATCAATAAGACTGGTAAAGAGGGAAGGTTGGGCATGAGGCTAGCAGCGAACCCATCCCGTAAAAGCAAACACCACTGCTACCGAAACTTTAAGCCTCTCTCTAGCTTGAAGCCGCCCTATGTTCCACTGGGAACGTAAAGGAATTTTTAACAAAAAATCATTACAGATATAAAACTGTCCAACCTCATGAGGAGAAAGTTATCGAAAAGAATATTCTTTTTGTTCATTCACTAATCAGTGGTTTTATAAAACGAAAATCAATTCACAAATCCAATGGTTATACACACAATACAAAACATACCAGCTGATTCAGTATTAATTGAACTATCCAATTGACTTAAAGGCCGTTGTATAGTATTCTTTGAAGTTGTCGATGTTGAAGTGTTACTGCAACCAGTACTATTATTATTGTTATTAGCTGTTGATGAGGCAATATCGAAGATATTGAAAAATGCCACTTTATTACGTTTAACTGCTGTACGATTTGTACTTTGAACTGAAGAAGAAATAGTGGAAGTAGCAACATTAGTAGTAGGAGTACTATTCGGAATGATTGACGAAGTAGGAGAAGCAGGAGGTATATTGTTAGAATTATTGATTGAGTTCAAAATTTGATCAGAACTCAGATTATGTGTGGTTGTATTGATAGGAGTGGTAGGTGTTGTTGAATTTGTCGAGTCAGTGACACAAGTAGTAGCAACAGTAGTTGCTGCTGTTGTTGTTGTTGTTGTAGAACCACTTGAAGGTGTCGGAACATTTGATTCAACAACTGACGAGACAATACGCGAACGTTGAGTGGGATGAATTACACCAGAGGTATCACGCTAGATTTTTTGGAGGGAAAACAATATATATTGTTGTGAGAGCTATCTGCGAACAATTTACGCCAGTGTTCACGTCCCGAAGCGGGGTCATGAGAAATAAAAAACAAAATAACAAAGCTTAACCTTGAGAAAATCACCAACCAACTAACCAATTACAGCGGAGTTAGAGTGTGGAAATATGACTGGCAGATATATGGCTTGATTTTCTGAGAAACGGTCGCACAAAGAAGATAACAGACTGATAACCTTCAGCAAGAAAACAACCAATGGTATACGAGCTCGCCTTGTAACCAGAAGGTCCTGGGTTCGAACCCCGGTGGGTGCGTACTGATGAAGAGCCTCAAACTAGAACGAAACAGCTGTCCAGTACTCCCCGGTGGTTTTCCAATGGCTCTCTAACCAATGTCAGCTCATGATGAAATCCTGTAACCAATCAGAAGAGGTTGGCTTCTCCGCCAACAATAATGTACATAAATATCTATAAATACCTCTTGATTTTCTCAATAAACTATCTGTGGCCTGGCCCTTGTCTTCTGTTGTTACAATATTACAAGTGTCTTTAATTACTTAATTACAACAACAGAAAAATCAGCACATTTTAGGATGGAATATACTAACTACTACTATTTAATGAGTAGTTGGAAACTACTGACATCAAAAAGCACCGCTTGTTATAAACAGCTCATAGTGATCTAACCACAAATGGTATTTGGATTGATTAAGCTCAGAGGACCGAATCAGTTCAAAGCATCCACCCATCCATCAACTCAGTATGACTATCAAGGTACTACAGCATTGACGACAGTGGTTGATTGCTATTTACGGTATCAAACAATAACTATTATGTTGAGAATTTATTATGCTTTATGCCTTCCGATTGGAATATACGGCTTCTGAAGACTGACTGATTCACTGGTTTCAAACATAGAACTACTTTGCACAGACGTGCAGTAGTTCAAGTTGCCACACACCCTCCTTGTGGCATACAAAGCAAGGGAAGAGAGTAAAGAGAGATTCAAAAGACAGAAAATAAACAGAAGTTTGAGTGAGGGAAAAAGAACAGTGATTTGGAAGAAAAGTAGAGTTTTATTGGATATTACAAATTAAAAAAAGTGAATCCATCTGCGCCAGCTATTGAGAATGATTTTCGGTCATATTACCAATTGTCTCCGGCAGTCATTCGTTCTTACCATCCCAAGAAGGCCAACCAACCAGGAAACAAGTCTACACCTCCCTACGTGGCTGGCTGGCTGGTTGGTTGGTTTAAACTACCTGTTATGGATTTTACTGACTGATGAAGGCATGTTTTAGTTTGACGACCACTAGCTAAATCTTTTCCAACCTGATCGTATGTCAGCTAACACTGTCTGTTGTTGAGGAAGACGATGGTTAGTCGTGCATGCGTAACACATGTTCTAACCATCTCAATCGATACAACTGCTTCACAACCTCGGTGATTGAGTTCCTCTTCCGCTAACCTAGCACTCAACCGATGCCTAATCTCAATATTACGCAGTCTACTATACCATCTAACACGGGAGATAGAACACAGACACGTATGATCAAAGACAGCTAGCTAGTCTTTTCATGTCTTTCACACTCGGTGGCCATTTTTCACAGCCATAAAGGAGGACAGGGCGAACTTCTGAGCAGTAGAGCTTCAAGCTCCAGCTTTGAAGTTTCAGGAGCCGTGATGTTCTTTGACGGGGTGGGGTTGCCAGCCTTACTCCAAAACTTCCCTCTTTACCGAGCTCACTACCAATCTTGCATATCATCTTCGCATACAGGCCAGGCTAATCTAATTGAAATGAACACTGCATGGTGGATATATTAGTTGTATAACAATCATATCAAACTTACCTCAGTCTGTTCACTTGATACACTAACAGCTTCTCGGTGTTCACGTAAAGCTTCAGCAATAGTCATATGTGCAACTTGTGCTTCATTCTCACAAGCTTCTTTATACAATTTACGTAACTTATCACGATCTGAAGGCTTTTTAGAATGGACAAGACGAAGAGCTTTAATTAACCAGGCTTCTAGAATCGGCGTTGTTGTATGTGTATACTGTGATGAATTTATCGCCATACCTCTGAAAACAATTATAAAAAATACGTTAACTACTTAAAAATATTTTAGTAGTAAATATAAAAATAAGAAAAAGACTTCTTCGAGAGACATTTGCACAGCCACTTTATTATATATTTATAATGTGAATTGATTACAAAGAAGAAATAGCAAATAAAGAAGTACAAGATAATATGAAAGAAAATACAAAAATTAGCCTTCGGAATGATAAGATGAAAGCACAGTTTATCTGTGTTGAATTAGTCATCTCCGGGAATAACTTCTTCTAAACGACGAATAAATTTAACACGTATTTCATTAATTTGATCCCCGCGTAATTGATCTTGTACAAAACGAGATTCAACGTCAAGTTGTACCTAAAAATATGATGTCAACAAAACAAAATATACGTGAAAGTCAATAGTTGATAGTAAATAGGTTTTTGGACGTTCTATATATTAGATAAGCACTGATTGACACAGGTTCTAATCTTAGGAGGGACGTGAATTCCTTTTGAAGATTACAGACTCACCTTGCTAACTGGTGAATGCTAAGAAGCATGAAGCACAGGTTCAAGGCTTCCTGAGGATTATCTGCAACCATCTAATAAAAACATATGATGGTAATAACTGAATGACATTTCGAGCACAATTTATTGCTTTTCATAATCAATCGTATAAATGTATTCACTAAGCTTCTTGAACTGCTTTTTAGAATTTTATTGTCCCTCCTCTTCCTTCCTCCAACCCCCTGCTTTTCGTCGAAATCTTCCCTATATCTGGGATTGGGATTACATTATTCTGATTGCGTGCGTTTGGTGTTGATCAGGTGAATAAAGACTCAGCGGTTGACCTTTCTTTTTACCTAAATGTATTGTTTATTAAATGGGGAGGTATTTTTTTTAATTCTACTAGAGCTTGATTCCACACAGTATTTTTTGGTACAAGTATGGAATTTCCAGCATGTGATATCGGCAGCCCAAATTTAGCAGGCCGACCACCATTGATATCAGGTGTGCGTCGACCAGGAATCGAACCCCGGACCACGTGAATGGTCGGCGAGCGTCCTAACCGCTGTGCCACCTCCTAACCACCATATATTTATACAGTTCTAGTGATTCTTAAAGTCTGATTATAGCTATAATTAGTTCCCTACATCCTTCTTTACCGCAGTGAGACGTGGAGGTTGATATTAGAAGATGCGAGAACGACAGTTGTCTTCGACCATGTATGTCTGTATTCCATCTATCGTCTTAGGCGGTGTAATATAGTCAGTAATAAGGAACTAGAGACTGCGCCACGGCCCCCCTCCCTGAGTCTCTGAAATCCAGCGGTTAGAGATTATTGACTCAAAATCGTTCGCAATGGAGCAAACGCATTCACTCTTTGCAATTTCACAGACTGTGAAAACTCTCATTATTCTCCATGTAATTATACTATTTCCTGTACATTTCCATATATTTTACTCTCAACGCAAGAGAGACATTGCGTAACCTGGCGACCTCCATCACCGAATCAACGCTGGACTCAGAGAGACCACATAGCCATAGGGTATCATTGGTGAGGGTCAGTAGAAGACTGTCACTCCTTCTAGAACACGTGCGTAGACTCTGATCACGCTCTGGTTCGCGCACGTTTATGCTTACGATGGAGACGATTTACTGTGTGCGTCAACTAAGTTATTACTCAAAGTCTGTGAATCAGAGATAGTCTCCCAGGACAGGTGTAAGTCATTGATTATCTCGATTTAAAAGATGGAAGAGAAGTCTTCCTGTGATATTCATACGGGGATAAGCTTGATCAATATGGTATCTTAAGATCTAGGCTCAATAATCATGTGTAGACTAAGTAATGCTTAGGAGAAAAAGAGATGAGAAAACCAAGCAGGCTTTAGAACACGAAGAGGGTGTATCAATCATACCCTCACCATTTGACAGATTCTGGAACATACTCATATTTACCGGCAACCACCAATCGCAGTTTTTCTTTATCTGAAGGCCGCATTCGACTGCGCCAACCAAAATACACTATGGAAATGTTTGGCTGTAATGGGGATGTCAAGAAAATACACTGAACTGATCAGGGCACTCTGTTTGAACTCATGCAGCCAGGTGAGAGCCTACGGAGAGTTATCAGCTGAAGTGATGGCAACCAGTGATGTTCGTAAGGGATCTCCACTGTCTCCATCCCTGTTTAATTTCATCACAGATGTACTAATGGACTTGACCCTAACTGAATTCAGTGACTCAGGCATTGACTTTTTACCAGAGGATGAATAATCTCGTTGACTTAGAACATGCAGATGATATAATCTTCCTAGATGAAGACGCCGATGAAATGCAGAGTCTTCTAAACATCTTGAGCAGCAATCTTCACATATTTGGTATGCGATGCACTTGTGTCAAGCGTAGGACGATGTTACAGGATTGGACTACATCGACTCACTCCTAGCTTAAAGATAGACAGGAGTGAAGTGGTGGCTAAGCGTGTTGACCATTTCACTAATTTAGAAAGTTACATCAGCCAGCCCCAACGGGTTGATCGCCGAAGAAACCTCACAACCAATACAAAACGCTGGTGTGAGGTTTGACAACTTACGTCGTCGCTGATGTAGGTTCGATAGCCTGCTGTCAACCAACGGATGTGCGTACTGCTCAGCAGTATGCTCCGTCCTCCTTTTTAGCTGGCTGTGAGACATGGCCACTGAAAGTGGAAGATATGAAAAGACTAGATAGCTGTCTTTTGTCATATGTGTCTGCATTCTGTTCCTCATGTTAGGAGGTATAATAGGGTGAGCAATATTGAGGTTATGCATCGGTCGAGTGTTCGGTGAAGAGGGGAAATCAATCGATTAGGTTGTGAAGTTACATCGATTGCGATGGCAGGGACATGTGTTGCGTCTTCCTAGACATCGCCTTCCTCTACGGGCAGTGTTAGCTGACATATGATCGGGTTGAAAAAGAGTTAGCTAGTGGTGGTCAAACCAAAACATGGCTTCATCAGTCTACGAAATCCATAACAGTTAGTTCCAGCCAACCAACCAGCTAGCCCGCCACGTAGGAAGGTGTAGACTAGCTTCCTGGTCGGTTATGGTCCTCGGGATGGTAAAAACCAATGACGGCCGGAGACAATTGGTAATATCACCAAAAATCGTTCTCAATAGCTGGCGCAGATGGATTCACTCCTTGTGATTTATAATATCCAGTAAAACTTTATTCTTTTTCCCTCGTAATTCCATTTGTTATCTGTCTTTTGATCCTCCCTTACTCTCTTCCCTTGCTTTGTGTACTACAAGGAAGGAGTGTGGCAACTCGAACTGCTTGATATCTGTGCGCAGTTGTTCTATGTTAAAACCAGTCAGTCACTCAGTCTAGCATGGTGGCCACATAGTGAGCTCAACTGACAGAATTCAGTCTGTGCCATTACCAAGGATTAGACGCATGACATTTGTTACACTGCCTAGTAGCTCAGTCAAAGTATAATTACTTTGCACAAAAAGGGCGGAAGTTTGAGTTGTGACACTTTAAATAAGCATACATAAAAATATAAAGAAAATACAGAAATACAAAGGAACTATAGTGAACGGAAATGTACGAGAGAAATAATAACTGCATGGAGAATAATGGGAGTTTAATGCATCTGGGAGATCTGCGCAAATGACAACGACTTTAGGTCATAGTGTGGTGAGAGCTGGCTGCGAACAAGCCAAAATTGTAGACAGCAATTTCGTCAATGTTTACGTCGCGAATTGGGGTCATGAGAAAAAAAACAATAACAAAGCTTAACTTTGAGGAACTCACCAACCAACTAATCACAGCAGATATATGCCTTAACTTTCTAAGAAACGGTCACAAGCAGTACAGAATAACCTTCAGCAAGAAAACAACCAGTCAGAAGAGCTTGGCTTCTCCACTAACAATAATGCACAAAAAATCTATAAATACCTCTTGATTTTCTCAATAAACGATCTGTTGCCTGACCCTTGTCTTCTGTCGTTACAATAGCATCAACAGTCTCTAATCCAAATAAGAGGTGACTGATATTATAAATCAACGAATGCAATTCAATAATGCATAAGCATAAAACACATAAATATCTTACATTATGTAAAGCACCGCGTATAGCACCCGCCAGTACATTAGAATACAGGAGATTTTGATGTTCTGATGGAAGATCCACAAATTCAGTTAGAGGATTACTCTCCAATACAAGACTGAATTCATCACCGGCTGAACTGAATTTACAAATACTTGGAGTGATACCTAAGAATATCTTAAAGCCCTAGAAATTATGAATAGAAGAGAGAAAAAAGCAGACGAATATGAAAATATTAACATTATTCTCTTTATTATTATTTACTGTGAAACGCAAACTTCGTACATTATAGGCATCAAAAGATACACTATACAGCATATTATAGTTTGTCTGAAGACTGGATAACAAGGTAGGTGACTAAACCGAAGCAGGTGGTTATCTTAACGATGTACCTCACGAGCCTTTAACTTGAAGTCTTATCCACAAGGCAATGGAGTGCAGCACCAGGAGGTGCATTTCCATGGTTTCTGGTGAGGAAAACAGGTCACCATAGGCCATTTGATACGTTCAGTTTCTGAATCCCATGTACGCCATATGGTTGGAATCAGGGTTTTTCAGCCCCCCTAGGTGGACCAGCATGTCCCCCAGTTCCACCGATAGCTGCTACCTTGACGTGGTGGTCACCGGGCTTGCACATTGCGATGACCCAACAAGCTGCACTGACTGGAACCAATGTTCCTGCAGGTCCTACCATGCTAGGAAGATTGTTAGGATAGCGATTAGACTAAAAGCAGTTACCGGAATTGTGTAAGAATCTTTTTTACACTATGCTGAGGGTCTGAGTGCGAAGTGGTACCGCTGGGGAACAGGGGTGTAACAGCAGTGAGGTGTTTCCCTCAGATGACCAGCATGCCAGCCAGCTATGCTGTCTCTCCACTCTGGAGGGACGGGGCTAGAAAAGGTCGACCCCAAAAACCATACATCCCG